TGCAAACCAGTACAGGCCCCTCACCCAGGCCATCCCATGCCCCAAGAGAACTGCCACCCTGATCCTGGACACCCTTCAGGGCAAACCAGCCAGCTTCTACTTGTACACCAAGGCTTTATCCTATCTAATGAAAGAGTAATATGCAAATTGACATCACTCCAACATACAAGATGGCTGCCCCCATGTAGACACAAGATGGCTGCCACAAGATGGCCAGCAGGGTAGAGAAGTTGTGAGGGACCAGGCCTGCAAAGGAGGGCAGTTGTGGACAATCAAGCCTGGAGGAGAGGGCAGTTAGGGGTGGCCAGGCTGGCAGGGGAGCAGTTAGACATCAATCAGGCTGGCAGGGGAGTGGTTAGGGGGTGATCAGGCTGGCAGGCAGAAGCAGTTAGGGGCAATCAGGAAGGCAGACAGGTGAACAGTTGGGAGCCAGCAGTCCTGGATTGTGAGAGGGATGTCTGACTGCCTGGTTAGGCCTGATAAGATCAGGCCTACACGGGCAGTCGGATATCCCTCAAGGGGTCTCACATTGGAGAGGGTGAAGGCTGGGCTGAGGGACAACTCCTCCACCAGCATGCACAAATTTTGTGCACTGGGCCTCGAGTGGAAATTATAAGGTTTTAAAGGCCCTCTTGAGGGCCTAAAATATAACTTATTTTAGGCCCTCAAGAGGGCCTAAATATTTAGGCCCTCAAGAGGGCCTAACTTATTTCTCCTCATTATGGCAAATTCATATCCATTCTAAAGTTGTAGGATGACTAGCATATTTTCTGTGAGGACATTTCTCCTCCTCCTACTCCTTACTCCTTCCCCACCCCCCTCCAAATAAGCAGTCCTTTCTCAGGGTTTCTGTATATTGTTCCTAATATTTTTACAGCACGAATCACTTGACATTCAAGTTCATTGTCTTGAATTGTAAAATACATAACGTACTACCTATGGGCACCTCAGAAGGATGGGGCCATTCTTTACCATTCTGTCCTAGCTTGACACACACTGGTCAGTACAGCTGGATGAATACTTTAAAAGTAGCATTTAAACAGTCAGCTCTTAAAAACACGTAATTATTAAGACCGTATTTGTTCAAGAGAGCCTTCCAATGTAAAGAAGATTGAGCAACCTCATGCCATAAATCAAATGTATATACTTTCCCCTCCACTTATATATTTAAAAAATATCTCCAATGTCTGTGAGTTTGATCCATGTGACTTTATGCTTAATAGATCAATATAATTCCTAAAAAAAAAAAAAGCAATAGTAAAAGGAATATATCTCAGCCAGTTTATGTAAGTCATATGTTCCTGAAAAGTAAATACAAAAATTATCTAACTCTGAATATCACAGATTACACTCTCACTATACTTCTCATCTTAAAGCTAATTATTGGTCTAAATAATAATTGATCTAAATAATAATTTAGACCTGTAAATGATTGGTCTAATGGTAGCTTTAGACTAGTGTTAAGATAATTTGTGACTATCTAAGAGTCACATTTTATACAGGCCAAATAAAATTAATTTCTCCATCTTCCAATTTGTGACACATCATTGACAATTCTGAGCCTCCATTTCCCCCTCCCCCTCATTGCAATAAAGACTTTAGAATATTTTGCCTTGACATGTTCACAAAACTTTACATAAAAGAGAGACTAATAAGCATTCATCTTGCTACTCACTAAAATACCATTTTTGTAATAAGATTTTTAAGTTTTCTCTAACATAATCTTATTTAACAGGTTAATACAGGAAGCTAGCTATTATTTTATCCCCATTCTATGCATTAAGAACTTTACTGGTTCATCCAGGAGCACCTACCTTCTGTGTGCTCGGGCAGAACCAGGCCTGGAGCACCATTCCCTGAACACCAATTACTAGACCACTACCCTGAATAGAAGACAGAGGTCTTCAATGTATTTCCATTTCCACAAATGTTGGTACGGAGGGTCTGGAGCTCCAGACTCCAAGATAACAGAAAAAGAATTACAAAGAGCACACACTGCCTTTCAAACCCTGGCTGATCATATGCCATTCTTACTCTGTATTCTTGCCCCCTCACAGGCAGATTCTTTTTTTTTTTTTTAATATATTTTTATTGATTTCAGAGAGGAAGGGAAAAAGAGAGAGATAGAAACAACATTAGTTGACAGAGAATCATTAATTAGTTGCCCCTTGTATGTCCCGCACCGGGGATCCAACTTGCAATCCTGGTATGTGCCCTGATCGGGAATCAAACTGTGACCTCCTGGTTCATAGGTAGACGTTCAACCAGTGAGCCATGCTGGCTGGGCCAGATTATGTTTTTTATACAAGGCATCAGTGGATTTAAACCAGAGATAGAGGTTTAAACTCATTACTGAAGTGACCGCTGGAGTTGGTTCCATCGTGTAATATTTAGCACTCTGGACTCTGAAGTGACCGCTGCATATACTACGTGGGAAGTGAGGCTGTGTGGTTAATGGACAACTTCAAAGATCACTGAAGGTTTCCATGATACTCATGAACATGAACCAAGTTTCACAGCATTCCCCCTTTCAAAATAGCACATATATTGCTGATGTAGGTGAGGGAAAATGGGTATACAAATGGAACAGGACAATAGTCACTCATATTCTACATTTGCTCTATTAAAAATTAATTTAAAACTTTTAAAATTGCCACTGCTTTCTTCCATATTTAAACACTTTTTTTTTTTAAGTAGAAAAAGCTAACAGTGTAACTGAAAATTCACGGGTTTTTAGTATTTGAGATATGGTATAGAGTAGACAATTGTGCATTAATATTTTGATATAAAAGTGCAAACCTAGTTTGCTTTTTAACTTGATTATATTTATTCTTTATAAACAGTTTAAGAGCTTTAATGCGATATAATTTATATACCATAAAATTCACTCATTTTAAGTACACAATTCAATATTTTTAGGATATCTACAGAATTGTGCACCCATCACAATCTAATTTTTGCACATTTAAATTACTTCCTCCCCAAAAAACAAACAAAACTAGTTTTCTTTTAACCAGAAGAGAATCAATGCCTAAAGCCATTTTACTACAGTGAGATATTAGATTTGAAAATATATGGAAAATCTATGACCCACTTAGCTGGTATGGTATAAATTTGAAAAGTTATATATCGACATTTAAAGAGCAAAAAAAAGATTCCAAATGCAACCTAATTGGCAAACTCTAATTGCGGTATAAGTTCAGCATCTGTATGTTGTATTAAAAAATAATTTTAAATGTTCCTTTACATAGTTGATATCAGCAAGAATGCAGCAGTTATTCTAGCTCAGTAGACCTCAGAGTCCTATTAATGATTCCAAAAATAGTGCCAGTGTCACAATCATAAACGTAAAGATTTTTGTTGTTGTTAAGCCTCAGCCTAGGATATTTTCCCATTGATTTTTTAGAGAGAGGGGTAGAGAAAGAGAGAAACATCATTGTGAGAGAGAGACACATTGATTGGTTACCTCTAGCACTCACCCTAATCAGGGCCAAGATCAGAGATCAGGCCTGCAACTGAGGTATGTGGACTTGACTGGAATCAAACCGGAGACCATTATATCCGTGAGCCAAACACTCTATCCACTGATCCAAACAGGCTAGGACAACCTAGTGTCTCACACACACTCACTGTAGGGTTATGATAACAAATTTCAATATAAAGCAACACCAACAGTGGCAGAATTTTAAGACTAGTAAATAGTGTAGGGTAAATACATTACATCAATGCAAATATCAGTGAAATCAGTTATTTGCTTTGGTCTAATGTCTGAAGATTTAAAAGTCTCTAGGTTATTTTATCTCCAGACTTCTAATTCTATAGGGGAGATCTGATTTGCAATAGCCTATTAAATATCAAAGAGAAACCTTTAGAATTAGGACCAACTAATTTGTTCGGGATGGTAAGCAGAAGGCCACATGCATAGTTTTCATTCCGCAGATATCATTTAAATAGGTAACTTTGTTAAAATTGGCATGGAAATGAAGAATAGATTAGTCTATGTCCAGGAATCTGGGCTAATACTGGTTTTTGACAGTCAGCCAAAGATCAAGAAGACCTTGATTATGATGCTCACACAACTCTGGGCTCCAGTGCAGATCCAGTTTTATTAATGACGATGACATAAAACTTGGCTACATCTATTACACAGCATCTCCCTTCAGCAGCAAGAATTTTCAAAAGATTGAGAAAGCCCTCCATTTCTGAAACTTTCTTCAGTAATAACACTTTTCTGAAAGTTTAGAAAATCTCCAATTCATGAAACTTCCTTCCCAGTTTGTACTTCCCAAAACATGCTTAGCAACGCAGAGAATGACTGAACAGGGCATCTCAACTGCAAGTAAGGAAATAAGTGAAAACTGCTTTTAAGCTAAATTACAAGTTCATAATCATGGTTGTTATATATCCTAATTCATTTCTTCTGAAGTTGTCATGAGACCTCCCAAGTATGACCTCCCATTATAAACATTATATCATCACAAATCTGATGAACTTAAAATTCCCTTACGGAAAATTTAATTCAGACTTGCCACAATAGTGTAAATAATACATTCTCTCTGCTAAAAAAAATTGATTAACACTGTGTGAGACAGTACAGCCAACTCTTTCATTATTCTTAATTCTCAGGTAGATTTTGATCCTGAGCATGCATCACACAAAAAGGTAAACATGCAAGTAATAGTCTGAATTTCATTTTACCCAATATAGCCTCTCTCCTCCTCTAGATCTTTCCACAGACATTCTAGTCTAAGAGCAGTCCTAACTCGTTTACAACTTATCCCTTTTATTTCTCCTGCCAGATCTCTGGAGGAGATGTTAATGAGTCTAGTAATGGTTTAACAGGCAACAGGAGAAATAACAAAGACAAGCTAAAGGTGTGAATAATCAACAGGCTGGAATAATTGAGTTCTGTGTAGCCAAGTTAAGGAAATATTCAAGTGAGACAGCTCACTTCTGTAGGCACATTATTCACTTAGTGAAGGTGAACGGGAAAAACATACCTGCTTGGCCAGTGGTGACACTGACAGCGGCGAAGAGCCTCTGGGATCGACTCAAGTCAGAAACTCCGTTCACAGCTTCAACCTCGAAAGTGTAATTGGCATGGGCCAGCAGGTCCATGACGGTGACATAGTTATCCTCTAAGCCACTCTGCTGGGGCATGTAGCCGATGTTACTTCCACAAGGAACACACTCGCCCTGCTCCCAACTGCACCGCTTGCACAGTATCCTGTAGGTCACGTCGTTCCTTCCCCCGTTGTCCGCAGGAGGACTCCATTCCAAGCTGACGGTGGTTTGGTTGATGTTGAAAATGAGGTTCTGTGGTGCAGATGGAGGCCCTTCAGAAACCAAAAATAAATAAATAAATAAATAAATAAAAACGAAAGAAAGAAAGAAAGAAAGAAAGAAAGAAAGAGAGAGAGAGAGAGAGAGAGAGAGAGAGAGAGAGAGAGAGAGAGAGAGAGAGAGAAAGAAAGAAAGAAAGAAAGAAAGAAAGAAAGAAAGAAAGAAAGAAAGAAAGAAAGAAAGAAAGAAAGAAAGAAAGAAAGAAAGAAAGAAGGAAAAGCCAACAAAATGCACCAAAGGCCCACGTGCTGCATTCAGCTGGCGGCTGAATTACCATACAGAAAACTAGCCGCAATGCTTTCTTTCACATAAACATTTCATTGCCTTTCCTAGAGAAGCCATATAAAAGCCTCCTTGAATTCACTTGGCAAGGGGCTTTATTTATTTTCCATTTAATATGTCAAAATGAAAACAGGATAACAACTGTCTTTGTACTTTTGCCACGGTCTTTAGCTACTTTACTTCCAAGCAATTAAAGAAGAACAGTTAATGCACCTAAAAAAAAAAAAACAGTTGTGAAGTTGTTCGAAAATAGTTTTCTTTTTAAGCGTATAGCAGAGAATACACCTATTCATTTTTAATGCGCTCAGGAATGATTTATAGGACTGTCTGGAATTTGGTTTGGATTTGGGTCTCTCAAGCACTCATTAATTGAAGCACCACGATGTGAGATTTGTTCAATTTAGTGATGGAATTTTAATTTGCAAACCATTACTTTTTAATTGCATTTCATACACATGTAAGACTCAAAAAAAAATAACTTTTTACATTTTAGGATTCCTATTAAATAGATGTGAAAAGTATTATTAAAAAGCATCTTGATTTTGAAAACATAAAAATTACATTGAAGTTGAAGTGAGATGTATTTTACATTATTGGTTAGCCTTAGAGGTTTATGAACAAATTTTAAATAATAATAATTCAGATTTGTGAATGTATTCACAAATTCTATGCCTATCTCAATGACAGGAAGGAATTTGAAAGTCCTTTTGTAACTTTACTAATAGGAACTTACTTGTGCACGCAACATATGGTGGGTCAGATGGAGCCCTATAATATCCATCCTCACATTCACATCTTGAAGAACCTTCTTTATCAGAAAAGCTGTGAGTTGGGCAGCGAGAGCACTGAAGGTCTTGAGAGGAAGATTTGTAGAACCCGCGGCCACAGGCTGGGTATACAAAAGAAAGTGAAAATAGAAACATGAGAGCAAGTAGACCTTTCTTCAATTTCAGTAATATTTTGCAAAGAATACAGTATAAAATATGATTTGTGAAAAACAAGCTGTTTATGATTAACACTAGAGGCCCAGTGCACAAATTTGTGCATGGGTGCAGTCTGGATGGCCTGCCCCAATTGGGGCTGATAGGGGGCCAGGCCAGCCAAAGGGAGGGGCCGTGAGAGGTTGGCCAGCTGGCCCTGCCCCCTTCAGGTAGGTTGACTGGCTGCAGTGCTTATCATACTGAATAGTCATTCCAGTTATTCAGGTCGTTTGGCATATATATATATATATATATATATATATATATATATACACACACACACACACACACACACACACACACACACACACATATATATATATATATAGTACATACACATATAGTAGATTTCATGTTAGTATATATCAATAACCATACTACATTTTAAGACAAAATAATAAAAATCAAATGATACGGCAAACTTGTACCTATAGTTGGCATCAGTTCAAAGTCAAGAGCCCCAAACTAAACATAAGCACAATTTATTTAGATAAAATCTTAAAATATTTAAATTTCAATTTTAACAGAATTAACTTGTTTGTTAAACTGCATTAACACACTCAAAAGGTTATGTTTTTTTCATAAAAAATAGCTGTAGCCCTTGCCAGTTTGGCTCAGTGGATAGAGTGAGACCCACAGAATGAGGGGTCCCAGGCTTGATTTCTGTCAAGAGCACATGCCTGGTTTACAGGCTCAGTCCCCAATAGGGGGTGTGCAGGAGACAGCCAATCAATGATTCTCTCATCATTGATGTTTCTATTTCTGTCTCCCTCTACTTTGCTCTCTGAAATCATTAAAATATATTTTTTAAAAATATAGCTGTAAATCAACATTTTGTGTTAATTTTATTTATAATGAAAAATATAAAAAAATAAGCTTAATCATCTACTAGAAACAAAAGTGTAAATTATTTTCATTTGAAAATGATAGAAATTTATTCCCTTCCAATTTTCAGGAAACTTCAAAATATAACAATTTAACAGGTTGCTTTCCACTAAGTGAACTCCCTTGTTAATAAAAATTATGAAATCTTGTAAATAGGAGACACCTATTTAACCAAATTAAAGAGAAAGCCATCAACTGTAAACAGACTGAGGACTTTTTCTCCCCTCCTGAGAGAAACTTAGGGTATAGTCACACTAACAAAGCAAATGCTCTCATAATGAATATAAAAGTATAGAAAACATCACTATCACCTCCTACTGAAGTTGTTTTTACTCACTTACATCCTATTTATTATTAAATCATGTACCATTGAACCATTTACTATCACTGAATATTTTCTATATTTATTTTCAATTAAAATTTAGCAAACTAAAATTATATTATCTCAACAATTTTTATTAACAGATGGTATTACACATTGAACATATTAAATAAATTCAATATATCCTTCATATTTTAAATGAGTATTTTTTAAGCGTTAGTGACCTTCAAATTTAATAGAAATTAATAAATCATATCTATAAAGATTAGGTAATATTTAACCTACATTTATATTTAAGTTTATTTAATGTTCTTAACTTGGCACTATTCAGTAACTGAATCACATATTCACTATTTGGGAGGAAAAACAATCTTGTTTTATTAAGAGGGTATATTCTCAAAAAAAATGAATTATTCTCTATTTTTGTTCACATGCTGATTTTTTAACTCATGATTTTGATACATTTGAGAGTTCAAAATCACCTTCTGAGTTTCAAGAAAATAAGCCTCCTTTACAGGAACAAGATGGGTATTTTAGATAACTTAGAAACTTAAAAGATCTGTTATATTGTGAAAGATAAGTGTTAGATACAGAAACAGAACTACAATCAACTCTTTGTAAACATAACAGACTACTGAGCTCAAAAGCCAGTCTGCCTTTGGTTGGCTTCCTCAATTCTTACAAGAGGAAAACACACATAACATATTAAGCAAAGAAGCTTAATGTACCTTCACATGTTCTCAGTAGCAATTACTACAAATCCAAGACACAGAGAGAACAATAAAATTGATTGCAAAATAATATAAAAATATAACACTTAAAAATGTTTATAAAGATAAGATCTTGATACATAAAAGAATGGTGAACTGCTAGGTTAAAGAAATGAGAATGGATTTCTCAGCCTTTCTTTAAGTATTTATTGCTTCTTGCTCGAAGTATTATCTGTAATTCAACATCCAGATATACCATCCATAAAATAGAGAAGGCAATGCTTTATTCACAACCTGCAGCTTGATAACATTAAGACCCAGAGAACTGAAAAAAGAAAAAGAGACAGTAATAAAGAGAAAGAGAGAGGGAAGGAAGAAGGGAGAGAATGTATATGTTGACTCTTTGATGATATTATGTGAATATTTAAGTAGGTTTTATAGAGAGAGGAGGTTAGGAAGTATGGAGATGAAAACACAGTGGCAACATGATTTAACATCTACAAGGTAAGTCTCCCAGAGTTACTAGGCAGCAAACTACCTAGTGGAATCCTTTGAATTCCCATGCTCGAATTGCAAGTAAAAACCTCTAAAGAAAGGCTTATTCCTGTTTTCCTCATTAACAAGGAGGTACATTTTTTTTTCTCTCTCACAACATACATGACTTATAGAATATATAGGGTAGGAAACTATAAAATCCTTATCATTCAACTTTCAAATTTACATTAAATTCTGTCACCACTTTAACAGATGGGAAAACAGATTTGAAGCAAAAGTAACCCGAGTTCTTCAAATAATCCCATTTGTCTAGGTTAAAACTGGTTTTTAGAACACAGGACCACTGATATGCAATCATGCTATTCCACCAGTGTCCACTGCTGAATGAGCCAGGATTTGGCACTGATTCAATGGCTCTCAAGGGCTTTAGCAACCCTAAAAATTTATTTTCAATGTGTCCCTCTTTCTTTAATTTATACCCCTAATTTAAAGCTATTTTAACTTACAAAACTATGAAATAATATCCTAACATACCTACAGAAGAGATATTAAATTGGTAGTCTCAATTTCATTATAAATTTTGTCACTGAAAATTCCTGCAAAATTATGGAGAGCATGCATGGCTATTATTAAATGGATAATGATAGAAACAATATTGGAAAACGTGGTCATAAAAGTCTTAACATTTTTTCTTTGAAGTACTATTTTGTTTCAGTACAGGTAATATTGAAAATAATGAGTTGTAACAGGACAGTTTTTACTTAACCTCTATGAAACTATTAATTTAGACTTATTAAAAAGAAGTACAGGAGTCCTCCCTTATCCACGGTTTCGCTTTCTGTGGTTTTAATTACCCATGGTCAATTAGCATGGCTCCGTGATCGAGAATCACCCAAAGCAGATGATTCTCCTTCTGATTATTGTCAAAGGTCAACAGTTCACCTAGCCAATGTCACATCGCCTACTCCACCTCACTTCATGTCATCATTATATCATCTCACAACATCACAAGAAGGAGGAGAATAGCACAACTGGACTTTAAGAGAGAGAATCCACATTCACATAACTTTTATTATAGTACATTGCTATGATTGTTATCTATAATAATGAAAGCATAATACGCTAATTAGAATGGACATCCTTCTGGAAGTCCCTCCATCCTTCCAGACAAAGCTAGGGCTGAAAGGGAAACTCGGGTCTTGAGTGTCTGTCGGTGCCAGAGGAAAGCCCGGATCCCAGGTGCCAAAAGGAAGTCTGTGCTGGGAGCCGGGGGAAGGAAGGCCTACTTTTGCATGAATTTCGTGCGTAGAGTCTCTAGTTTTAATATAGGTTACTAGAGACTCTATGCACGAAATTTGTGTGGGAGGAGGGGGCACGAAATTTGTGTGGGAGTTGGGCATCCCTCTCACAATCTGGGACTCCTGGATCCTAACCTGCTCACTCCTTACCACTGCCACAGAGGTGGATGAGGCTCCTGCCACTGCCGTTGCGCTCACCAGCAGTGAGCCTGGCTTTTGGCTGAGTGGCATGCCCACTATGGAAGCACACAAACCACCAAAGAGCAGCTCCTGCATTGAGCGTCTGCCCCCTAGTGGTCAGTGTGCATCATAGTGACCAGTTGTTCTGGTCATTCAGCCATAGCAGTCACTGGGCTTTTATTATATAGATTAATGTCAATCTACTGTGCCTAATTTATAAATTAGGTTTTATTATAGGTAAGTATGTAAAGGAAAAAAAAACACAGAGTATATACAGTGTGAGGTACTATTCATGGTTGCAAGCCTCCACTGGACATCTTGGAATGTATCCTGCACAAATAAGAGGGGTTTCTGTTAAAAATTTTTGGACCTATGGTATTAAGTCGAGAACATGCAACAATATAAGCTGTCTCTTAGGAAAACTGTGAAAAATTGGGTGGTTAAAAAGTTTGCTAAGAAAGTAACAGATGCTCAGAAAAATTACAATTTTAGATGAAATTGCTACATGAAAAAACTTCAGTAAAATACTCAGTGACAGAAACTGGGGTGGAGTGACATATCTGATAGTCAACCGCATAGGAAGAATCAGAGGAGTTCTCGAAATGGCTCCTAAAAAGGCTACCTGAAAAGCAAGACGAAAATTCATCTTCTATGGATGCAGCTGGTTTTCTAAAAGATAATAATAAAAACATTTCTAGGGGTAAATGACTTCTGAGACCTCAAAAAGACCAATTCACTTCATACTTAACTAAAATATACAGAAATAACTTAGTAGGAATCATGCAATCACAGTTTTAAAACTTTTCTTTCTTCACTTTCTTTCTCAATTTGTTCAATAGCATTTGAACTGAAAGCAAACTTTAATTAATATAGTATGTGCTTATGGTAAAGTTAGTTACAATAAAAAACACACCATTTTAATTTCCTGCTTTTTGATGTTTTTGCTTTTTAACTTAACATTGCATTGTGTGTGTGTGTGTGTGTGTGTGTGTGTGTGTGTGTGTGTTTATATTTTTTTC